TGGGGGTGGGGGGGGCTGTGGGTGTGGCTGTGTGACGGTGTGGCAGGGTGTGTGGGGGAGCTTTGTGTGTCGAGAGAGAGGTGTGTGTGTGAGAGGTGGGGTGGGGAGGGGGAGAGAGAGAGAGAGAGGAAGGGTGTGTGGCTGAGAGCCCCCCAAAGCAAGCGCCCTGGAGGGATGCGCCCAGCGGCCTGGTGTCGCCACCACGGACCCAGCCGCCGCCACCTGTATCGCCGTCTATACCGCAGGAGGGGCTTCACTACAATGTGGACTGCGGCAAGGACATGTTTACGGCCACCACACAGGTGGGCAGGCAGGGGTGGTGGTGGTGGTTGGGTGAGTTGGTGGGCGGGCGTGGGGTGTCTACATGCGCGCATGCCGTGTGTGCTGGGTCGAAAGCCTGCTGTGCCGGTCTGTCACGCCCTGCCGGTGCGCTCAGCGTGTCGCCGCCCCTCACCCCTTTCGTTTCCTCGCCCCTTCCCTTGCGCAGAACTGGGGCAAGACGCGGATGATGCCGCTGAGCGAGCTCAACCGCAGCGACCGCTCATACCTGGCGGGGGACAGGCTGGCGGTGCGGGTGTCCATCCGCGTGCTGCCGCCGTCTGGAGGGGCGGCTGCGGCGGCGATAGTGCAGGCGCCGCCAGCTGCTGTCCCGGGCTTTGCCTGAGCGGGGGGAGCTGCTGGCAGGGCTGGCAGGGCTCCCGTGCAGCTGGAGCAGCTTGCGGTAGATGCCGCGCGCTGTGTGTCATTCCTTGCAATGCTTGATATGTGTGTGCGCGTCTGTGATGAACAGTGCATGCTTGTTGAGAGGCAATGCATGCCTTGAGAGGCAACGCATGCAGCAGCACAATCCTGCCTTCCATGCAAGTCTGTTACAGCTGATGCTTGTTGAAACAGGACACTAGAGCCAGGCACGAATTCATGCACCTCTGCACAACACTCGCTCGCTCGCCACGTTCCCCGCGCCCGACGGCGGCGGCGATACCGCTCACAGCTGCATGGTGGGCCTCAGCTCGTCCTCCATCTCCAGGTCATCGCCCGCCAGCTCAGCGCCACCTGGCGCCTCCTCCGAGGCGGCGCCCGCCCCATTCCCCATGATGTGCCTGCACGCGCACGCAGCGGCGGCGGCAGAGCGCAGGCGGTGAGCGCGCAGAGCAGCCTGCAGGCGGGCCAGAGAGCCCTACCTCCCCTTCCCGCCGGGTTTCAGCCAGCAGGGACGCAGCCGGCAGCAGCTTCCGCTCCCGGTCGGGGGGCCCAGCCATGGGTCCGGCCAGCGGCCTCCCGCTGCGCCCGCTGCGCCTCACCGCTTGAGCAGTGCCAGCCCCTCGGTCGATTCGAAAGCCTCAAAGGCGGAGAGCAGCATGGAGGCGTCGGTGCCGGAGAGCGCCGCGCTGGAGGCCGCGGCCAGCTCGTCGATGCGTGCGATGCAGCCGGCCAGCACCTCGGGGGGCGGCTTGTGGCTGCGAGGCGGGGGGGGCGGGGCGGGGCGAGGGGTCAGCAGCGGGCCCAGCCGATACCCGGCACTGGCCGCAGCAGGGGGAGCAGAGCGCGGCGAGGTTCGCTGCAACCGGGCAGCTGCAGGCGGCAGCGGTGGGGAGGGAGCGGGGGGCCCTGGCGAAACTGGAGGGCTCACTTGAGGTGTGCGCAGGAGAAGAGCAGGGCGCAGACTTGGCGCAGCGTGGCGGGCGTGGTGCGGTTGTGGGCCGCGTAGCGAGCCACCATCGCCTGCGCAGCGGGCGCAGCAGGCAGCGCAGGGCGGCGGGGGCGGGTGAGTGGCGGCGAGCGGTGCGCATTGGCAAGCAAGGCCGCCGGGGGCGGGAGGCGGGGCCCTGCCTGCAGGGGGGCTTTTGCCTGCGATGCAGCCACACAACACACAAGGGCAAGCCAAGGCAGGCCAGTGCCTGCTCACACCCTACGGGAGGCCACC